ATTTAACCTTTTAGTAATCCGTATAATTATCCTTACGGATACAGACAGGAATCGGGACCCATTGGGTACAATCCGGATTTTCCCTCGATTCAAAACGTCCAGGGATCATCCACTTATTATCAGCAGCAACAGGTATTTTTAATGGGTTTTGGCTTTTGATATCAGTTACTGTTCTGCTTAATAGCATTTCCTTTCAGTATAATTACTCACAGGGGGAATACAATCCAGCTTTCCCTGGTTACTCCAAGCCGGTATACTCACGAGAGTATTCGTTTCGGGTATGTTCCAAAATTTTCGGTTCATCTTTAGACGGTATTGAATACGGTGAACACAGTTTCCGATATATTTTCAGTGCGAGAGCTCATTCATAAGAATTTGCCCCTTACCGTACACTCGAGTATGACAATGTGTGTCATTGCACACACAATCACATTTGGCGTCCTTATCCTGGAATTGCAATCCCAAAAATGCAAGAGACCCATTGTTGTTGCTTACGACACTTTGTGAAGATTTCTACCAAAAATGGAGAAAAGCATGAAGAAAACATCGAAAACACCTAGCTGAAGGACTGTCGGTGTCCAGAATCCAGGATGAGGACGTCAAAAGTGGGCAGTGTGTGCAGTGACACACATGATCATACGTACTGACTCGACTGTAGTTGTCAATATTGTTGTGAATTTTTCTGTGAACAATCTTTCTCTGAGCAGTCAAAAAGCTTTCGGCTTACTGCAGACTCTGGGGATGTTATATTATATAAGTGCGCAAGTTAGCTTTTCATGTTTTGCTGCGTTGGATCATTTCAGCACACTCGCGGTTATCCTCGCGTAAATAATTCTACTCGGCAGCCCAGAGGCAACTCTCGTGCCGCAAAGGTAGCCAGTGTAAAACAGGTGAAGAAGATGAAATTCTTTCTTTTTTTCAGCTGAAAACCACGCAGTCTAACACTCTGAAGGGGAGCAAGAGCAAGACTGCAGCTCAAAGCGCTACCGAGTCGTCATCCACGAGTTCACAAGTGCTGAAGGCTGAGGACGCCCTGCAAAGTGGTAAGCGATGATTGGGGTGACTCTGGATTGTAAAAGTTGTTGTTTGGCTGTCTCATATGCTCAGTTTGAATATAAATATAGAAGACTGGTTGTGTGATCGATTAACATTGACGCTTTTGCTTGCAGACGAGCAGAAGCCCGGAAAAGTTCGCCCCGTTTCGTCTGAGAAGCCCGACATATCTGTTCTGAAAATCATTTCGCCGAAAAAGAACACCAAGCATCCGCGTAAATTGCACGCGGGTAAATCTGAAACGGGTAGTAAGCGTGGAGCGTCTACAAGCTCAGGTAAAACT